GAATGGGGTATGGGAGACTGAAATTATAGGGAATTAGGCGTGAATCGGAGAAGAAACGTCTGGAGGAAAGTGGAGGCACGAAGGGGTTTTGAGAGGATGAAAGAATGGACCAGGTTTTTGGGTTTATATTCTAATTTTGGGTTTTTTCGCTCAAGCGACACTGCTTCACTTGAGCAAAAAGGCCTGAGTTTCAAGTTTAAGTGAATAATGGACATTCGCTCGAGCGAAATTTTATTCGCTTGAGTGAACGAAGACCCAAGAGGTTACACTGAATTTCGCTCAAGCGAATCCTTGATCGCTTGAGTGAATGATGAAAAATCTTTAGCGAAAGTGGGTTTTCGTTTGAGTGAGGAAAAACAGAGAGAAAAAACGTAGTTTTGCTTGAGCGAATAAACTTTGTCTGAGCGAAAATATCAATGAAATTTGACTCTCAAACATGATACTCAAATGCAAAAATTTCAATAACCAAACTTGAAAAATTTATTTCCTCTCCCCTTCTATACTAACTCAAAAATAACTTAACAACCAAACCAAATATTGTTCAAACAATCCCAATTCAAAATTGACACAATTCACAATTAACTAATAATGCACCAAAAACTTAAAATGCAAACAGAAAAGCAAATTCAAAACATTGTGTTGTCTTCCATGAGCGCTTGTTTAACGTCTTTAGCTCGACGCATGTCTACTTTATGGCTCAAGCAAGTGAGTGATCAAGCTGAGTCTTTCAACTTCACCTCCCATATAAGCTTTGATTATTTGCCCATTGACTGTCCATGTTTTTCCTGTTCCTGGATCTTCCAATTCCACAACACCATAAGACTTAACACTTCTTATCAAGAATGGCCCTGACCATTTGGACTTTAATTTCCTAGGGAAAAGCCTTAACCTTGATTTGAACAACAGCACAGATTGACCTGGATGAAAATCTCGTTTCAAAATTTTCTTATCATGATATGCCTTGACTTTCTCCTTGTACAACTTTGAAGATTCATATGCATTGAGTGTCATTTCTTCTAATTCATGCATCTGGGTTCTTCTTTTATCTACTGAAGCTTTAGGGTCAAAATTGAGGAATTTTAGAGCCCAATAAGCTTTGTGCTCCATTTCCACTAGGAGATGACATGACTTGCCATAAACAAGTTGAAAAGGAGAAAACCCAGTGAGAGATTTGTATGCAGATCTATAAGCCCAAAGCGCATCATCCAGCTTCATTGACCAATCTTTCCTTGAGGATGAAACAGTTTTATCTAAGATTCCTTTTATTTCTCTATTTGACACTTCTTTTTGCCCATTCGTTTGTGGATGATAAGGTTATGCAACTTTATGCCTAACCCCATAATTCTCCAGACATTTTTGAAGTTGATTATTTTAGAAATGTGATCCTCCATCACTGATTAAAACTCTAGGCGTGTCAAATCTACAAAATATATTATTTTTTAAAAAATTTATCACAGTTTTGACATTTGCTTTTGCAGCTCTACTGCTTCCACCCAGTTAGACACATAGTTAACTACTACTAAGATGTAATCATTGGAGAATGAGGATGGAAAAGAGCCTACAAAATCGATTCCCCAACAATAAAAAACTTCTACTTCCAACATGATATTCAGGTGTATTTCATGTCTTCTTGAGATTCCCCCTATTCTTTGACAATTATTACATTGTTGGACATAGTTGTGGGCATCCTTGAACAAGGTAGGCCAGAAAAAACCAGATTGGAGGACCTTTGCAGCAGTTCTCACTCCATTAAAATGTCCACCATAAGAAGAACTGTGACAATGCCAGAGAAAGCTTCTGGCTTCCTCATTTGTTACACACATTCAAGTTATCACTCCCTACTTTGAAAAGATAGGGATCATCCCATACAAAATAGTGTGCATCTTTAAAAAACTTCTTCCTTTGATGTCAAGTAGAATCTTCTAGAACAACACCTGCAGCTTTGAAATTTGTCATGTCAGGAAACCATGGCCTCTCTTGAATAGCAAATAGTTTTTCAACTTAGCATAGTCACTGGCATCACGATTCAACTCAAAATTTAAATTCCAATCAGGTGTTGTAATGGTGGAGGCTAAACACAATTTCTCCTTTATAGCTAAAAAGGCTTTAAGGCATTCCTCATCAAAGCAAAGCTTCATATCTTTGTTCAACAAATTGCTAAGAGGTTTTGCAATCTTAGAAAAGTCTTGGATAAATCTTCTATAAAATCTTGCATGTCCTAAGAAGCTCCTTATGCCTTTCACATTGATTGGAGGTGGTAGTTTAGAAATAACTTCCACCTTTGCTTGATCCACTTCAATACCCCGAGATGAGATCTTGTGTCCCAACACAATACCTTCCATGACCATGAAATGACACAAAATTGTTTTTTCATAAACTTTTGGATTGAAAACAAATAATAAAAAGCTATAAAATATATTTAGAAAAGATAAAATATGAGAACTTAGGATTGACTTACTTCCTTTTCCCTCCTTTGTACAATGACTGAGTCAAATTAATAACATCAATTAACATATAAATGTTGATGTCACCTACTTAAATTATTCACATTGATTCCTCAAACATGAAATTTATAAGAAAACCTTATAAACATAGATTTCTCATACATTCAATAGATTTTCCAGCATTAGGTTTATGATGTTAAGCACTTAATACATCCATTACCATTCTTAGCAATCAACGTATCAAATATTTTTAACCTAATCAAGGGTTTCAAGATATATTTTCCAATATATATGAACATCTAGGATAAAAGCATTAATAGACATAAAGGATAAGAATAACAACATCAAGAACATAGATTAATATCTCAAAATATCACCAAGATACAAAAGAGTTCAAAGGAAATACACCCAATCCTAAGAGAATGAAGTTAGTCACTCATGATGGTCATTACAATGATCCAAATGAAGATGAATTGAAGATTGGAGGAAAACTCGGGTGACTCTTAGACTAAAAATCTTCTTCCTTTTTTCTAATTTTTCTTCAATTAACTTGAGAATTATGATCCTTGCTCTTGTACCCAGGTATTCTGCAAATTCATCCAACATTGGGAGAAAAATAGATTAGAATCACATAATTTAAGTGGTTAAATAACAATTAAAAACATAATTACATCAACTTTTGTCACTTAACATCATGGTAGCAAAAGGTAAATAGTCCAAAGTAGATAAGAGAAGAGATAAATGATTTATTACCAGTAATATGATTTGTAGCACCCAAGTTTAAAACCCAAGGGCCAAGAGTGTTGAAATGAGTGAGGCCAACTAATTATGTACTTGTGTATACAATAGAAGTAATGGAATTAGGGCTCTGACATCCTCGTACAATTTGAGAAATTTGTTGAAGATAACATGTTATTTTGAAAGATTAGATGAGATGAGACCAAATCAAATGGTTATGAGGGAGTAACCTGAGCAATCGTAATAGATTAAGGAGGGAAAACACGTAAAGCATAACACCATTCAATTCTATGACTGAGCTTGTGACAATGTTCACACATGAGATGCCATTGCTAGTCTTGCAAGGGTGATTATAATCATCATGCTAAGATACCACGGTTGAAGAGTCCTCAAAGGTGACTAAAGAAGGTATTTCAGTGGTTGACTTACTTGGCACTCGCAATAGGGTGAAACAAGTGGAAGTAAAGGTAGCTACAACTTAGGAACCCAAAATATAATCAAGGACATATGAATAATCATCAAGAAGTCCATATAATACTAATAATATGAAAAACTTTGATCATTGCTTTAGTTTTTTTAGAAGGATTGGAGGCAGGAGGCAATACTTTATTAGAATCATGAAGAAGAGTATGAACTTTGTCCAAATATTCAACCACTATATCCTCAAGATGTTTGGGAACAAGAATATCTAGGATATTTTGACAAACTCCATACAAACATCGTGTATTAGTTGTGCACAATAGTTTGCCTTGTTCTCAAACCTTTTGAACATGTCTCATACGTACAAAAGATTTGTGTTTAGTGATGAATGAATATTAGACTTAAGTACCATGCATAATTAAGCATTAATTTTAAATCAACGAGAACATTCATCTTCAAAATAACAACCACACTTTTTAAGATGATTTACATAACCTTGACTTTTAAGCCAAAGACTAATATTTGGTGCCAAATAACCTTAAAATAATAAAAAAATCAACAAGTTCGAATCACAATGAAAATTACAAAGAGTCGAGTCTAATAACAATGAGCGCTGTCAAAGAGAATGTCAAACGCATCACAAAAAATATAATAATAAAGATGGATGGGGCAACACATGTGGACGTGTCAGGAGTTCAATTATCGTGATTTTTGTCACACCGTGATCGCTTGGTCAAGACTAATACTACATTAATATCGTTAGTTCAAACAACGATAGTGGTGACTATGGAAACACGATGAAGCAAAAAACTAAAAAAAATGTAAGTTTGAGGTAAATTATATTTTTTTTATAAATAAAAAAACTAAGAAAATATAAATAATATGAACCTAAATCTAACTAATTTATTATCACATCTAATAATTAAAATACATTTTAATATAAAACAAAAAAGATAACCTGTAAAAATATATTTTATCATATATATATATATATATATATATATATTTAAATTTTAGTAAATACAGAGGTTTTTTATATTATAATTTTATATTTGAGAAATAGTTTAAATTTGAAATCACATAATCTTGTATATAAAACTTTCTTAAATTTTTTATCTGAAAAAATGTTTTAAAATCTCAATTATAGAAAGTTATTTTTAATTTGTTTCTGATGAAATAATTTATTATCTATATTTGATTTAGGAGCTAATTTCTAAGGAACTATATTGTTTTTTCTAGTAAATTATAAGAATAGAGAATTGGGAGTGGCAAGAACCAAGCACCGTTTTGATTCTGAACCAAAACAAAACCAAAACCCTCACACACAGAGTTGTCATTGTCGTCATCGTCGTCGTCGTCATCGGTGGTGGTATTGGTGCGCGATCGGAGCAGTAGAAGATGTCGTCGGTGTACGTTCTAGAACCTCCAACGAAGGGAAAAGTGGTGGTGAGCACAACGCGCGGGCCTTTGGACATCGAGCTATGGCCGAAGGAGGCTCCGAAAGCCGTGAGGAATTTCGTGCAGCTCTGCCTCGAAAACTATTACGACAACATCATCTTCCACCGCGTCATCAAGGACTTTCTCGTCCAAGCCGGCGACCCCACCGCCTCCGGCACCGGTGTGTCCCACGCTCTCTATTCGCCCCCTTTCGCTTTCTTTTCTCCGTAATTGGTTGGAAAACTATCCGTGAGCGTTTGCATAATTGATTTTATATGAACTTGTTTTACGACATTAGCTTGGTTATAGTTAAAATTGAAGTTGGAGCGAATTGATCTGTGTTTGGATGAGCTTTATCCCGAATGCGCGTTTGATGTTAAATGTAAAGCATAGTGTATATTTTTCAATTTAGAGCATAAGGTACTTTTTATAACTTTAATGTGTGTTTGCATTTGTGTTAGATAATTCAGAATTGTTTTAAAATACTAGCTAAATGGAGTCATGTTTGGATGTATTTTTATTTTGAAAAACAGTTTGACGTAAATTTAGGGTAAATTTTGTCAATCGAAAGCAAAAGCTATTTTTGTGTGTTTATATTTGTGTTAGATAATTTAGAAACACATCGAAATACTAGTTGAATCGAGTTGGATGTGTTTTTATCCTGAAAGCAAGTTTGATGTAAAATTTAGTGTAATATTTTTCAATCTAAAGCAAAAGCTTTTTTTTAATACTTTAATGTGTTTAGATTTGGGGTTGGATTATTCAGAATCACGTTGAAATAATATTGAAATATTAGTTAACGTATTTTAGTTCAATGTATACATGTATACACGATGAAGACTTGTTTCAACGAGCTTCACCATAAGTTTCTTTTAGGAGAGAAAAATAAGAAGAAAATTTGAAATTAGTTTCCCATAAGCTAAAGTTAACTTGTGCATAAATTGTAGAAACTCTCTATATAACTTCTTTATATTTTTACTTTTAACTTGTGTGCAAATTAATTTTAGCTTATGGAGAAGCTAATTTCAATTTTTCCTTCTATTTTCTTTCTCCTTGAAGGAGCTTACCTTGTCCAATCAAACCCTTAATTCTGGATTCATAACTGATTTTAACTTGAAGCAACTTTAGGTTGCTTTGGATGCATATTTATCCTGAAGGAAAGTTTGATTTAAAACTTAGTGTAAAGAGTTTTCCAATCTATTAGGTAGAAGCTACCACTTATCACTTCAAGTAAAACCAAGGTTTGGAGGCAAAAGCAATTTGCTTAATAGTAAGCGAATGTTTGTCTTTTTACTGAAATATCGTCTAATAGGAAGCCAAATCGATTATGATTCTTTCCATCATGAATATTGTATTTCTTTTTGCAGTGAGTTAAGGAAACCACGGTGACCCACCATGTTTTTCCACCACACCAGAGAGTAGCTTTAAGGCTCCTGGTTAGCATGATTTTTTAAATATGTTTCCATACATTCTATAAGCATATATGTTTTGTTCTGTTGTTGCTAGCTGATTTATGTGTCTTGTGGATGCTGTTTGATTTGTTATTCTTCTGATTGTTTAGTGGTTTTTAATAAACTAATTGTTTCATTGCTGTTCTTGTTGTAGGAGGTGAAAGCATTTATGGTGGTGTTTTTGCTGATGAGTTCCATTCACGTTTAAAATTCAAGCACAGAGGAATAGTTGCAATGGCCAATGCTGGATCTCCAAATTCCAATGGAAGTCAGTTTTTCATCACTCTCGACCGGTGTGACTGGCTTGATCGCAAGCATACCATTTTTGGAAAAGTAAGAGTAGTTCAGTTCAAGGAAACAATTACTTTTTTTATTTTCTGTTTTTGCTTTTAATTATGTAGTCTCACATTGTTTTGCTTTTTTTTTTTTGTTTTCAAAGATTTGCATAAGAAAGACTGTAAGTAAAAAATATAATTGAAAACAATAAAAGGTTTCTTCATGGTTTTGCTACACTTTTGAAAACTGAAACAAAGTGAAAACAAACTCAAATGGTACTTTTATAATAAAATTGAAAACAGAGAATGAAAATAAGAAACATTTCATCAAGTGAAAAAAAACCCTAAAAGAATTCAAAATGCAGTTATTGTCTAGTAAAACATTTATCTTCTAGTGACAGGAGGTCTGTTCTCACTGTTAATTGCCTTCAGGTGACAGGAGATACAATGTATAATCTTTTGAGACTGGGTGAAGTTGAAACCGATAAGAATGACCGGCCTTTAGATCCCCCAAAGATTTTATCAGTCGAGGTTAGTTGTGCTTTTGATTGGCATTGCTGAAACATTGAAGTTTTGTATCCAGTGAATGGATAAATTACCCTCCCTAATGTCATCTTAATATGGTTGTTCTAGGTTTTATGGAATCCATTTGAAGATATTGTTCCAAGAACACTTCAGAAACCTCTAACTCAAGCTAAAGCTGATACAGAAAATAAAGAGCCTAGGAAGAAAGGTGTAAAGTAAGTTCAACCTCCTATTGAAGAAAAATTTCTTAGAATTCAATGCAGAATGTTTACTTTCCAAGCAGCTTGCCACTTATTTAATTTTAAATTCAATACAGAAAATTGAACTTGCTTTCATTTGGGGGAGAAGCTGAAGAAGAGGAAAAGGTGGCATCAGTGAAGCAAAAGATTAAGAGCAGTCACGATGTCTTGAATGATCCTCGTCTTCTAAAGGAAGAAACTCCTATTAGTGAACTGGTATAAGGCCTTTCTTATAGTATTTCTTCTGGTTCTCTAGTAGAACTCTTACATGACATTTTGTACATGTACTAATTGCAATTTTTACGTACTTTATCTGCCAATCATTTTGGGGTGGCTGTTTTTGGCTTACATCCCCAAGAGTCCCCATGTTACACAGTTGTTTGCTAATTTCACCGTGAATGTTCATATTTCTATGGAAACTAACAGCACAAATGTTACCTCAAATTGTCACAAACATCAATTGCCTGTATTTTTTTTGCAGAGTTCATCAAGAAGAGATCTGCATTTATCTGTAAGGGACGCACTTAACGCGAAGAAAGAAGAGCCTCAGAAAGATTCAGCCCCTGGTAACATGGCTCGTGTTGATTCCAGTGATGATGATGAAGCAGATTTTGATTCAAGAATGCGCATGCAGATACTCAAAAAGCGGAGGGAGTTGGGTGATCTCCCTCCCAAGCCTAAGTTGCAAAAAGGTACCTCAAATATTATATATTGCAGTTTGTAAGTTGTAACATTTCAACCTCTGATCTAAGAAGCCTTTCTGGTTCTACCCATGAAAGTTTCAATGATTATAGCTGTGACATTATGCTATCAGAGTTACTGTCATGTTCGTTCCCTCTTCAAGCCCAACAGAAGATAAACTAAATAGCAATTAGGCCACTTCCTACTTCCCGATCCCATCTTTAAATTTGGAAACTAAACATAGGAATTAGATACTTCTGATGTATGAAATTGAACTCTCACTCTTTTTGGTATTGCCCGTTGCACCAGTAGGAATATAAGAAACATGTAATAGTGAACATTCTGAAAATAGAATTAGAAAATTGTGAATGACCAGTGTGTGGCAGAATCAAGTGGTAGAAGTGACATCTGGCACCTGTCAAATGGAATTAAATAACTATAACTGTACAGCATAAAAATGTTAGTCTTAACAAAGGACAAAATTGTTAGAATATGCTAATTGTTGGAACAATTAATTAAGACACCTGCGACTGCTTGTAATATATTGGATCTTCAAGTTCGTGTAAATTATAAATTGCTTTTTCCAATCTCAACACTCAAGTAGAAGGTTTGCTACTTTTTGCATTACAAGAGCAAATAAAATGACAATATTCTAAGGTGCATTTAATTTAATCATAATGGTAATCAAGATGTATTTATTTTATAAATCTATGGCAGAAGTTTGTTTTATTTGTGAATGCTGTAATCATTATACTTACCAACTTAAACTGTTAATTCCTTATTATTCTTTCTTTCAATTTATTATTCTTATTCAAAAATATTTTTTGTATCGATAAGATTCACCTCATTTTCTTTTTCATAAGCAGGAGGAAGGTCCAGTCCAGAGAATCATGATATGTCATCACCAAGGTAAAAATATAGATCTTTGATTTCTGTTAGGGCTTCTACTTTTAGAACTTGATTATGTTTTAGCTGTTGCCACAAAATTGTCAATGATATTTTGAATGGTGATAGTTTATAATGTGATAAAAAATTAACCTCTTTTAAATTGTAAAATATGGTTGTGAAACAAGAATGATATACAATTTGGCTCATTGTGGGGAGCCTGGGGCCACATACATGCTCTATGTTCCCTTCACAGCATAGTTAGCAACACCCCATTGAACTTGTGGCCAAGGAGGACCCAAGGTAGAGCAGCCGTAGAGGCAATAGATGGTTTTGCTAGGCTGCATATAACACTTAGCCTTTATTTGTTTCTGGTGTTATACTGTTTAAGATGAAGGGGAGGCGTCAATTTGCAAAGAAAGTTGGGGTTTGGATCTATGATTTGCATGGAAAGTGTGGTGGGATCTACAACTCATAGATAACCTTCTCAAATGGTTGGTAAAGACTGGAAAGCCAACTGGAAGGTTGCCGTGCTTCATGTTGAAATTTTGTCCAATTTACCCTTCAATGTTAATGTTGTTGTTTAATATTAGAAACCATTTTATCCTAGAAGTGAAGAACATAATATATATTTACAAATGAAACAACCATAATCAATTATATGTTATAACATAATCGATTATGATGTTGCACATAATCTAAATTTCTTCATACAGATATATATCTGATATTTGACATTTCTCCTTAAAGAATTTGGGAATTCCTAATCCATGGCTGCATGACCTGAGAAATTCACTGTAATCAGATTACTCTGCCTTGATTATGTTCTGGCACTTGAAAAATTGCGGTTACTACTGCAAGTGTTTATCATTTATTTAATGGAGAAGCATGGTCTATCAATTAGCTGTCAAAGAAATATTTTAAAGTGGCTTCTTGTTAGCCTTCTATTACCTATGAAGTTTGCTTGCCTTGATTTCCAAGTAGACATTTTTTATATATATTGGATTTTCTACATATGTGATCTTGTTTTGTGATTATCCAAGAAATTCTGCAATTAGTCTAAACTTCATTAAATGGTTGATTGTCTACTTGTTAGGTCCAATGCTGTTAGTGTTGATGAGGATCAACCAAAGGTAGAAAAGTTGTCCTTGAAGAAAAGGGGAGTAGGATCTGAAGCAAGAGCGGAACGAATGGCTAATGCCAATCCAGATCTGCAACTATTAAATGAAACTGAGAGAGGAAGGCAATTGCAGAAGCAGAAGAAACGCAGACTTCAAGGGCGTGAAGATGAAGTATGTTTTTTTTTTATATACATTTTATTTTCTGTTTTCTTATTCCCTTTGTACTCCTTTTTTTTCTGGCTTGTGTTCTTGAGCGTTCTAGTCTATAAAAAATGTACTTAAAGGGAATGATTGCCTGTCTAATGATCTAATATGAGATACGTCAAGACTAGTTGACTGGAACTTGCTAGATAATTTAGATTGACAGTTAATTGAACATATTTTAGTGTCTGAAAACTTTTCAGATTATGGGGTTAATGTTTTGTTTCTTTTCTAGTCGTTTAAGGGTTCTTTTGTGATAATATGTTTGTGTATTTTCAATTACTCTCATGAGTGACATTGTTCCATTTGTGCATCTTTCTATCTTCAGGTTCTGGCAAAACTTGAAAAATTCAAGAATTCTTTAGCAGCAAAGACGACACCCCCAGCTGCCGAATCTGGAGATGTTAATAATGAGGAGTTGTCTGACTGGAGAGGTGTTAGTTTAAAGTTTACCCCCGAGTCTGGCAAGGTGAGTTTACTCTTCACATTTCATCTAAATGGGCCGTATTAACTGTGGATTTTAAAATCATTTTATTTTCCATTCACATTATGTGTCTTACCTGTCTTTTCATTTTCACCGGTCAGTTGTCACACAGAAACAATCTGAAACAATGCTTATCTATACATGCAGATAATCGTTGAAATTAGAAAATTCTATTGAAATCTATTGTTCTAAGATATCTGCAATAATCTTATAACTGGAAATAGTTCCTCTCCAAATTTAAACCACATCACTCCTTTTTTACTCCCCTTACACTCTTTGCCTGTAATTTTCTTGTAAATGTGCAGGATCGCATGTCTCGCAATGAGGACCCAAATGACTATGTTGTGCACGACCCACTTCTGGAAAAGGGGAAAGAGAAGTTCAATAGGATGATAGCCAAACAAAAGAGACGAGAACGAGAGTGGGCTGGGAGATCTCTTACTTGACTATTCATGTGCCAACATGGCTATGTAATCTACAGGCTGATTGGTTTTGAAGGTTAACATGTCACTGCTGCTATGCTGGGAAAGGAAACTTGCGCTAATAGGAACTGAACAGAAAGTTGATGCATTGAGGAGTGTAGCAGACATGGTAGGCAAGGACACTGATATTGGTGAGTGAGAACTGAGATGTAGGGTTACCGTGCAAGTGTTAATCCATTCGCATCTTACATAATTCTCTATCTTGAATTAAAGCCAATGAGGAACTCATGTAAGGGCCTCCTCATACATTAATTGAGTTTGTATCTTTGTCCAATATCAACAGATGTATTGTGTAGCTTTGACACATTTGTTTTGTTTTAATATTAGGAATCAGGTGGACGTTATATTATTGTGGAACTGACAAATTTTGCAGATGAATGCTTGGATGGCAGAATTTAATGTTGTTGAGGTGGGTTGGACTTGGAGCATGTATTTACGAAGATATCCATTAAGTTGTGCTTTTCTTTTTTCCAGGGAACTAAGCTGAAAAGTATGATTATGGGCACGATCTATCATGTTTCCAATATAGCTGTTTGGTAATAACTTGCACATGGTTTTTCACTTCAGAGTAGAAGTTCCTAGTTCCACCTTTTATATTCAAGACCCATTCGATGTGATTTGTTTTGTTAACTGGGGCACATATTTCTAAATATGTATTAATAGTTAACGTGTAAAGTTGACGTGCCACATTAAATGAGTAGAGTCATTTTAGTCCTGAAAGCGGTAAGCGCTGTGAATTTAGTTTCTGAAAAGGAAAATGTTAAATAGGTCTTCGGAATGTTAAACAAGTCCATAAACTTGGTCTTCTTGATACACGTGAATTTTATTGCTGCAATCATTTATTAAAATTTTGAGTACTGTGATTGCCAATTTATACTTTCAGGGTTTTATTATTATTATTATTATTCAAGAGCTAATGCGAAAGTGATTTTCAAATTTAGGGACTATCAGTTTTAGTTGTGAAGATTTGCTAGTGTATGTCTGTCAGTGTTTGTGGAAAATCGAATACTTTAGAAATCACTTCATCCAGTTCTGATTCAAATTATTGATGAATCAATCACAAAGATTTGGATACTACTTTGTTGAGGTCCAACTCTAATTCACGCCTTTCATTTGCACCAGATGTCACCTTTCACGAAAGCTTCAATTTCGATTAAGGACAATTGGTTTTGCAGTTTTGGGACTACCAGATGGAGATCAGTGCCAAATGTTTGATGGTGAAAGGTTGAATTCTTGCTATTTGTTTTGTTGGCAGTTGGTGCTGTGGCACGACGTGGTCCTAAGAGTGCCTTAGCATTAAGGTAATGTTTAAGCAAATTGAATTAAATAGAAGTTTTTAGAACAACCATGTTGCAAACTCACAAAATTTGAGAGTCAATTTATAAAAATATCAAATAATATATATCAACCCCAGATTAAATTAACCTTTTTAAAAATATATAAATTAACATTTTTGTGGGACCTTTATGGCTTTTGTCCAAGAAGAATTTGGGTAGTTTGTCACTAACTCTTAACCGATTTGCACCTAACATTTTGAAATTAATTTTATGGGGTATTAGGCTAATTGATTGAATTGGGATGCTTTTAAAATTAATTACCCCGTTAGTTTTTTTTTTTTTTCCCATTAAATATACTGGTCGAATGTCATTTTTTTAAAAAGAAAATAAATTAGAAATATGAAAATAGATCACTCAAGGCTAAGTCAAGAAAAATACAACATTTTTTAAAAGAATACAATATTCTTAACTTTACATGACAGAATAATAAAATTATTATCATTAATCATATTTCTATATCAGTAATATTGTCAATAATAATATCTATATTTATGTAAATAAATTTGATATCGACTATTTTAATTACATACTAATGACAGATATCCTAAATTATTTCTCTGTTGTGAAATTGTAGATTAAATAATATCTAGAACATCGGTATATAAGAGTAATTTGTTTAATACTATAGTTCATTATTATAGACTTTTTCAAATTTTATGAATGTGGTTTCTACCCATAGTAACTTGCATAAAGTTTTCTTATTATTAAAACAAAAATAGGATTTCATTTGTCTAAAAGATATTAATTGACAAACACTAAAATTACATCATTAAATATAATTAAAAATGGTGATGACGTTTGCATCCTTGAATAATTTTAATAGCGATTGCAGTTTTCTTATTTTATTTTTCTTCATGACTTTAATTGAGGATTTTAATAATTGAAGCAAAAATAGAATAACCAAATCCAATTCAAATTCCAAAAGATCATATTAAATTTGATATTATATTCAAGTTTTTAAAACGTTCCTAACAAATAAGTCAGAAATTATATAAAATAAATAATAACTAAGTAGATTTAGTTATATTTTAATTTATGTAATCTTGATCTATTACCTAATTTAATATCCAATGAATTTTTTATGTGACATTTTTTATCAAATATTATAATGTCAACATCTATTCCCATGTAAACATTTGTCTTAAATATTAAATGTAAAGTTAACCTGAAAAAGAGTCAAGTTAAAAAATAAATTAAATTTACATAATTAAAATAGGAAGAACACCAAAAAAAAAGGCACAACGGACAAAAAAAAATGTGAGAAGCAACTATAATAGATAAAATCACAAGTACAAATAAGTTTTACCTTAAAAATACCACCAAACCATAGGACATGCTTCTTGGTGAATTTAGGGAAAAATCTTGTTTTCATATGTAATAGAGGATGAAAGAAAGAGTCTAGAAACAAAGACATATAAAATATAAAAAGGGTAGTTGAGATCTTCCTTTTTCAAGAATCACCCACTTGCTTTCACATCTCAACCCCATTACTATGAAATGGGGTTTTAATGAGGAGACTTTTTTATTTGAGCATCTATCATTTTCCTACAAGCACATACTTTTGCATTTTTGCATAATACAAATTGAGTTAGCACATTGGCTTGCTTGTGAGATGGGCTATGGTTAGAGAGACACAAGGTCAAAAGTAGCGTATATTGTTGAATTGTGTGAGATGATGCTTTGGGGTTGTAGGACCCCATCATCTAGGGCAATCCCAAGTGTGAACATGCATCCTCAGTGTCAAAGTCTTCCGTGTTCACGCCTTCTTAGAAAAAAAAATTGTCTACTCCTAACAAACACACTTTTCTAGCTAAACGTTAAACCTAGTGCCTCACTAATAAATGCCTCTAATGAGTCGAACATTTAAAGGATTTTTTTTTTTTAAGGTAAATATGTTATAAATGTCAAATATTCACCCATTCTATCTATTATTAGTATTTGTTGAATAATCTCAATAATTATATTTAAGTGAATATCCTTTTACTTATGTTTAAAAAAAATTGTATTATAAGATTACGTGTATTTTTTATATATAAATAATGAAATTTTATATCAATTAAATTATAATTTATAATTATTAGTTTTTATAATTGATTTAAATATTTTTTTATTTTAAATATAATATCAGAGTCTACTTTAATAATATTATAGATATAATCAATTTTGGAAGATTGAATTAGATATGTTTCTTGTAATAAAAATTATATAGATAGATTTTTCTTTGAAATTATAATATTTAGTTTAATTCAATAATTTACATTAGAATTAGAATCACCAATTTTGAATGGTTTAATTTGAGTCAATAATTTATATTACAATTAGAATTTAATTTGATTTGATTTCGAATAAAATAAGTGGAAAGAGTTGTTAGATAAAATATCTTAGATAATTTCGAAAATTCTAAACTTGTATACCATTCTTCAAATTGTGGTCTTACCCAATATTTCTTTTGTTTATGGATATGTTTGTGATTGAGTACCACTCCGCGAATCAGGCCCACAAGATCCAAAACTAAATTATTTTCAAAATTAACTAATTAATCTCACCAAAATACTCAACTTTTTACACGAGTCTAGGACTGAATCATTTTAAAATTATATTCATTTCCGGCATAAAATCATAATTAGGGCTTGCCATTTTTGTTTATCTCTAAGTTTTTTTTTAATATTATGTTTTTAGGACATTTTTACTAAGAATTATATAATTAAATTTTATTATAATTTTTTTCAATTTTAAATAATTAAGGGGTGATCCATAATATAATATTATTTTTATTTATAATAAATTCTTGTTAACAACTCTATCAGATATGCTCTTAATGACTAATCTAAATTTTTAATGCTCAAAGTCTCTTAAATTTTTAATTTTTTATTCTTTGGTTTTAGTCTCAGTTATCAATAACAACATTCACTGTCAATGCAACAATTTAATGAAAAAAGGTTGTTGAGATGGTAATTTATTCATAAACTATATTTTTAATTTCTCGCCAATTAATATAAAATAATTAACCAACCTGAACAAATAACATTAAACACAATTTATCTAAAAAAATTACATGTCTGTCTCTTCAAAAAATCTTAATATGATGATGATAAGAAAACTAAAAGGTTTGACCAGTCGAAACTTAGATTAGAAACTAAAAACAAAAATTACTAATTGATAATTAGGGCATTAAGCTTTAAATCTTTAGTATTATTAATTACCTGTGTTTAGTATTATGTATAATACAATTAATTATTGACAAAATAATAATGCATGATAAACAAATAAAATAAAATAAAAAGATCCTATTTGTTAGAAATATGTGAGAATCCCATGAATGAAAAAGGTTAAATAATTATTGAGAAAGTAAGGAGAATTAGAACATAAATTAAGAAAATTCCAAGTCTGCGTTTGTCATATACCTACCTGACACTGCCAAATCCAATCTCAAAAAATTCCAAATCCCAAATCGTGTTCACACTACAAACCTATCTTCTTTTCTCACCATCCCTAAATTAACCAATTCTCATCATTTCTCTCTTCCACCCTTATCAACTAAATAATTTCACACCACCTTGCTTTTATCCCTTTTTACTCCCCTCCCATTAATATTGATGTTCATTAAACATACATGTAAACGAATATTCAACACTTATCATGCAAAGAATATAGAAAAAAAAAAAACTTGAGACTTAAAATAAAAACATGATTAATTGTGATATTTATTCAGTTACTTGCGACACTCTCTAATCGATCTGTCAATTGAATAAATCGATCCCAAACCGGAAAGTCCAAAGTTCCATCATACGCATCATTTCCGGTGATTAATCGATTAAAAAAAATAATCAATTTATAATTTAATGAAACAATTAATTTATTATTTAACAAGTTAAACAACACTGGTTTCACTGGCATCTCTTCATTCCATAAAAGTTCAATCACGCGTTCACACCAGAACTGGTGTTCACACCTCACGCAATTTACAACTATATATATTAAATAATAATAATAATAATTTCACACCAAACCAAAACACAACACCAACCTAAGACTTCGTGTTATTCATAAATTCTGTTTCTGTTTCTGTTTGCTGAGTTTGTGTTTCGGTTCCTTCACATCGAAAGCCTATTTCTTTCTTTCTTTCTTTCTCTGTTTGTGTTTTGTTTTGTCTTTATGAAACTCCCAACAACGTTTGCAGACCCTGAATCCTTGTCTTACCTTTACACCTTGCTCCAATCTTCCTTTGATCAAATGAGCAATACCAACAGCAATTACAACGCCATAAACAACAACACCACTTCCAGAAAGCGCCGCAGAAAAAACCAAGATGGTGATGATGAGGATGATGGGGATGGTGGTGATGATGGTTCGTCCAACAACAACAACAACCCAGAAGAGAGTAACAGCAAGAGAAGCAAGAAGAAGAAGGAGGAGCTAAAGGGTATCCTTACCTCAATTCTCTTGTTGGATGAGCAAGAGAAGCTCGAGCAGCAACAGAACAATAGGGTCTCCGAGGAGGAGAAGTTTTCGTTGGAGACGAATCACAAGAAGAAAACCAAGGCCATGCTTCAGTATTACTCGAACCTGGATGAGTATTACAGCCACGTGGAGGAATCTGAGAGGGTGAAGAGGAAGAAGTCGCGCGGTATGGCACGTGCGGTGGCAGTTGCAGCGTGTGAGAGGGAGGGTTGTGAAGGTGGTGGGAGTGTTGAGGGGGTGAAATCTGGTGCGGGGGGATCACAGAGAAGGTTGTGGGTGAAGGATCGTTCAGGGGCGTGGTGGGATGAATGTAACAAAGAAGATTTTCCTGAGGAAGAATTTAGGAAGGCTTTTAGGATGGGAAGGGAAACTTTTGATATGATATGTGAGGAGCTGAATTCTACAATTGTGAAGGAGGACACGACTTTGAGGAATGCTATTCCTGTGAGGCAAAGGGTGGCAGTGTGTTTGTGGAGATTGGCCACTGGGGACCCTC